GAGAGAGAGAGATCGTTGTATTTTCAACGATGCGAAGCCGAGGAAAAATGACGAAGATGAAGGTGAAACGGTATTCACCAGTTTGCAGTAGCCGACGCAGATCCCAGGGCTCGATCCCTAGTCCCCACCTTACCTGTGTACAGTATCTGTGTTGACCCCTAGAGTTGAACCCGTGACCTGTGTATTTGTAACAGTTGGTAGACTGTCGTAGGGTCCGTAGGTAGTAGGGGTTCGATCTGTAGACCTGTAGGGTAGGAGTCTTAGTCAGGTCTAGGAGTCGTAGCTGCTACAGTCACGAAAGGCCAAGTCCACGGCCTTCCGGAAGGTCCCAGAAGTGGCCTTTCGAACTTGCTCACGTTTTAGACAGAGGCAAGTGGGCAAGTGGGCAAGTGGGCAAGTGGTGAGCCCAACCACAGTACGTCGACAGTGCAACTGTACTGAGTTCGCAGTGCAAACCCATGCAGTCAGTAGTACCGGTCCCAGTCAGTCCTAGTCCAGACAAGCAAGTACCGCATGGGACTGTGTGCACCATGGGCATGGGGAAGGGCCAGACCAGTGAGCTACAGCAGTATAAATCAAAGGGCAGCGTCCAGCCATTCATTCATTCCTGCGTGAGCCATGCGGAAGCGCTGCCACAGCTACTTCTGCTGGGTGGTCTGCAGTGAGCCCGAAGACGAAGTGGGCAGAGAGAAGGAGCATAGCCATAGCGATAGGGTAGCAGCGGCCATAGCCGCCATAGCCATAGTTAGAGTTCAGCGTGTGAGTGTGAATGTGTGTGTGTGTATCGTGTGTGGGATATCCAGGGTGATCCTGTGTATGCGAACAGAGAGTTGTGTGGGCGCTGTATCGCCATGGCCATCGAAGTGAACTTGTATCTGAGTTGTGTTCTTGGTCGCCATATCTCTGACGTCTGTGTGGGCGCTTGTCGCCAGTTTGCCGCACATCTGCTTGCATGCGTGTAAAGTGTGAGTGAAAGCGAGTCTGATTGCATTGGTATCAGAGCTGGTACCCGCTATTCCACGCGCTGTTGTGTGCCGCTGGGAGCTACGCGCCATAGCTGAAGTGGCCATCGAGAGAAGAAGTCCGCCATAGCGGCCCCGGAGGTTGAAGACTCCGCCGCACGCACCTGCAAAGAAGAC